GATTCCCCCCCCGGGACTGGGGATGGAGGAGCCGGGAGGATCAAGCTGCCCAGCAGCTCCTGACACAGGAATGGGGCTGGATGGGGCACTCGGCACTGGCCCGGGCTTTGGGAATGGGACTGGGAATGGGATTGGGAATGGGAGGAGGGGGGCTGCCAAACCTGCCTCTAACCCAGGATGAGTCCTCATCCAGGCATGCGGGGTGGAGGAGGCAGCCGGGTGCTGTGCATTGGGGGGCCCAGCCGGGTGCTGTGCACGGGCACCCCAGCTGGGTGCTGAGTGTTTCCAGCAGCCGCCTGCCGCCAGAGGAGAAGGGGCACAGCAGATGAGCCCTTCGCTGGTCCCGTGCCCTGTCCTCTGAGCCAGCCCAGCCCTCGGGTGCAGCGGGAATCGGGTCGAGCTGGGACAGGGCGCGTGAGGGGCAGAGAGGGGGACTGCAAAAATCCCCAGGGCTGGCGCTGCCACCGGGACTGGTGGCTCATGCTCCGCTGGGGACATGCTGGGAGGCCTGGGGGGCCCTCCATGGTCGTGCAGGGTCTGGGAGCAGCCTGGCGGAGCCCGGGCCATCGGCCTCCCTTGCTGGGTACGTCACAGCCCACTGAAGCCCTCTCATGTCTTATCCCCCCACGTCCTTGCCAGGCTGAAGCCACCCAAGGACCCAGGCATTTCCAAGAGGAGCCCGGCCGAGCTGCTAACCTGGGAGTGGGCAGTCTGCAGGGTGGTGGAGGGAGATGCTGGCGGGGGAGCAGAGGAGTTGGCAGCCCCTGGGGCTCTGGGTGCCTGGGCAGCCAGCCACCCTGCGCGCGCATCTGGGGATTCGAACGGAAAGGCGATTCCTTTCTGGCTTCTGGCACTGGGGTTTCTAGCAAACAGCTCTCGGGTCCGCTGCTGTCAGTACGGGAGGGGACTGTGGAGGCTCCGTGAGCAGCACCTCCCGCCACCTCTTTTGGCTGACCCTCCATACCTGGTTCCCCCCCACTAGTGAAAGGCCTGTGTGTGTCGGGGTCGGGTCCTTCTCCTGATGGGGTGCTGGGTGCCGCACCTGAGCTGCAGGTCCGTATCCTTTTGTGCAATTGCCTGTTCTAACACATGCCAACGCTGCTTTGAAGCCCTCAGTTGAAAAAGCAAGAACAAGCACGTGGTGCGCTGGGATGCTGCATCCGTAACGCACGTCCCCTGCAGCCCTGGCTGGTGAGAGACTGCAGAGATGCCGCCTCCACCAGTGCCTGGCCCCGTGACTGAGGCTGCATCAGGCTGGCTGCAGCTCCCTTTGGGTTTTGGAGCGGCCCTCGAAGGTCTCTGCACCGAGAAGCTCAAGGAGCCACATACGATGGCTGTGAAAGCCAGCGTGTGGGCTGGGGAGAACCGAGCAGCCGGTTCCCTCCTTCCCATGGCAGAGTCGAGCCCGGGATGTGCAAGGGACCTCCTCTGAGAGCGCCTGGCCCTGGGGAGCTGCACGTTTTCCAAAGGATACGTGAATGAGAGATGCAGTTAGCACAGGCGGGAGCCTGAAGAATCTGCAGATGGCGGTCGGTCGGGAGTCGGAGGACTTCTGGAGGCTCTGGACTATGGCTGGGTGCCTGCCGGGAGCTACGGGTGGGCGATATTCCCTTTGAAAACCGGTAGAGAGCTCGGCGTGTCTTTGGCGAGGAGCCGGTAGCCCTGGTATTTCTCTAGCCGGGAACTAGGAGATGTCCTCAGCCTCGGCGCCGCTCAGGCACGGCTGGAAGGGGAAGCGGCCTGGAAGGGCGGTGGGGATCGCTCCCAAGAAACTTGGGAGTTTGGGGCCAGCGGGGATCTGTTCCTCCCCGCAGCCGTGCGGGGCGCGGAGAAGGAGTCCTCCCTCCCGCGCACCGCCCCGCCGGCTGCCTCTCCGTCCAGACAAAGCCCGGTTTCCAGAGAAGCCCACCTACCTGGTAGTTAGCGGAGTCATGTGGCTGCAGCACTTAATTAATAAAAAGCCGATATAAATTCCAGCAAGCATGTGGGGAGGAGGACATTGAGGCAGAGAGCGGTAGCGGCGCTCCCAGCGAGCTCGGTGGAGCAGCGAGCGGCAAGCCCCCTCTCCGCTCGGAGAGGTCAGTGCTCACAAGGGGAAGGGTCCGGGGGGCCTTCGGGGTGCGATACCCACGGCCGTGGGGCTCCCCACACGGCGCGGAGGGGTCTCTCCCGGCAAAGAGCTGGGCGGTTTTGAGGGGATGAGGAGGTGAGGAGCGGCCGGCACAGCTCTGGGCTGCCGGAGGCAGGGCCGGAGCCCCAGGGCTGCCAAGGCAGCAGGCGCTGGGTTTCACGGGACACGGCTGAAGGGCTGGCGGCTGGAGAGCCGGGGGAGAAAGCGGGACGGGGAGAGGGAGGCGTTACGGAGGAGCTGGGCAAGAAGCAGGGAGGTGCTGGGCCATGAGTCGGTGTGGTGGGTCGGCCCTGGCTGGGCGCTGGTGCCCCCCCAGCCGCTCCATCACTCCCCTCCTCAGCTGGACAGGGGAGAGAAAAACATAACGAAAGGCTCGTGGGTCGAGATCGGGACAGGGAGAGCACTCAGCAATCACCGTCACGGGCAATAC